CTCTCTCTCCCCCCCCCCTCTCTTTTCTCTACTTTTGAATAGTGATGTGTCTCGATTGATTGTCTCTCGCTTTCTCTCCTAAGTAGGAGCAAATCGGTGCGCTTCCCTTGCGTAAAAGAACTTCTTCCGGAACTCTTCCATTAGTTTCCTGGGTAATCCTCCTACGCAAGGACCCCGCCTTCTTTTCTTGTGGACGGTGGATGCGTGTGTACCGTGCAATGCGACCGATCTTTTCCGGTGCATGTCTCATTTTCGCACCTTCCACAGTGAATGCATGTATGGAATATGTGACTCTTTTGTTGATTAGAGGATTGTCGTCGGGATTTTGTTCGAGAATGCAAGAGTGTTTAGATCTGTAGCTCTGTTTGCATTGCGCATGCCATCTGCCTTATGCTGCACGACATCAGCAGCCGAGCCACAAGGCGGCCCTGAGAAACAAGGCGCCCAGGGACCTACGTTGTGTTCAACTGATCGGACCCGTAGCCATATGCGTGATCAACCTGATCTGTGTTTGCTCTCTCTCTTGTGTCAAAAAGATTGATTGGGGGACGCGCGAATCGCTTTTGTTCTTAATGACGTATTTGGATATTTTGTGATTGATTGACATATGGACTGACAAGTACCCTTCAATTGGGCGACAGCCTCCTGTATCTCTCATCCCAACGCGACCTTTTCCTTACAGTGAGGAAAGGACACGTGTATGTGAGTGGGACGTACGAGAAGCCGTTGCACAAATCGGCGGGCAATACTACTTCCCTCCGGCCAACCGCTGTTCTGGGTTTGTAGAAATCGGGTTTGTTATTATCGATACGCACTTCCCACCTTACTCGGTATTGTTGCCATTTAACGAGTTGATTGCCATTCCGTGGACGACAGTAGAACCCCACTAGCCGCGCACTCTGTGCACCGAATGTCAGCGTTTTGAGCGCTACGAGTCCACGGGGTTTTACTACTGTGTGTGGAGCGAAAACGAGCATAAAGAAAGAGTCACGCGACTGAGACCCTCCTTGTCAGACTCAGAACTAACCAGTGAACGACGACGAGATTTGATACGAAAATGAGACACGTGAAGCGTGCCCAAGCCTTTCTGTTCTAAACGACGGGTTGTAGCCCGGTGGGAGGCACGACAATACTTTTTGGATTGAATTTGGATCTTTCCCTCTCTTCTCGCTTTACCTCACGCGCACTTTGCGACACGCGAAAACGATCGACTTGCTCCATCGGACCAACACGGGGGATTTCAGTTCCGTCTGTGTCCCCACACTCAATTTCCAAAAATCCTTGGCACACCCCATCTTGCTGTTTTTCCGGGCCTCTTTTCCGCACAGCTAACACTCCGAACGAAAGACAGCACAGGGCGTAAGGTTGGTATCGGAGCCGACACGTGTCGGTTCTGATGATAGTAAGTCGAACTGGCGAGAGGATGGAGAGACCTTCAACTAGCTCGTCGAGATTGCCCAGTGACCAGATCTCAGTCTGGAGCGGCTGCACCCGCAACAATGGTGGACATTACTAGGGTGATCGTTAGCATCCCTGCCCCCTTCCCCTTCTTCCCCAACCATACCCATCCCGAGGTTTGGTAAGTAGCTGTCGAAGCTTAAAACTACAGCGCAATCGATCTTCCCCGTGTTCTGACTTTACTACTCCGCAATACATCACATGACTGGTCCAGAAAGCATACATGGGTAGATTGGGAGACTTTTAAGCATGCATTCTTGGCTCGATTCGACACGGTTAGTGAAGATGCTGCCTCGTACGTGCTAAAAAATCGGCCCCAAGGACCAGGGGAACTGTTACCCGATTTTGTTGATCGATTTCAAAACCACATAGGATAAATTTGGGCGAGATAAAAAATCTGCTCGAGATTTGTTTATTGATCACCTTCGAAGTCCGACCTTGAAAGGGAAACTGCAGAAAAAGGTTCCGCCAAAAACAACCCAGTTATCGACTATCATTACTAAAGCGTTGGAACTAGACTTGGCTGACACAAAAAAATATATCAGCCAGAGAGACGAAGACATTACTTATACCATACGGGATGTAACGGCTAAAAGGCGATCGTGGTTGCAGGCGGTCAAACGATTTTATCCCCGCCCCGACCATGACCTTCCCAGCGGAATCGTTTCCGATATCCCGACTGCTTCTCCTTCATCTTCTCCGGTGAATCAATCGATCGCAGCCATCAGAAGCGGACCTTCATTTGAGCTCCCCTCGCCGGCCGTAACCAATCTACACCTTGCCTAAGAGATCCATACGGCTACTACCAAGCAGTCCGAATGGATGAGCAACTTGATCCAAATGCAGGCCGCTCATATGGAACGGTTGGAACAGATAATGAGCAGGCTCATTAAGCCTAACCCAGCTCCTGCTCCGCCTGCCCCTGCAGCGTTTCCACTCTTACCTGCTCCGCCTGCTCCAGGATTTGCCCCTCAGTTTCCCCTGTTTGCTAATCCGGCAGGAAAGATCGAATGCTTCAACTGCAAATAGCCCGGGCATTTTGCTCGAGACTGTCCGCAGCCGAAACGTAATCAGCCCCCCCCTGCTGCGGCCCCCGTCGCCCTCAATGAAGGTCGAGTGGTCGCTCTGATGGATACGGACCCAGGAAAAGAACTCGTGGCATACGCCCCGGAGCAGCCTTCCCTCTTGATGACAATGGCGTCGACATCAGGAGCTTCCACCTCTGACGCTGCTGACATAGTCGACCCCCTTGAGTATCTTCATCTCGCCAGAATGATCGGAGCGATCTGATCGGCCCAGGATGATCTCAAATGGGTCGATCGCGAATCCAATCTCAGACCGCAGTTTCGGACAGGAGATATTGATGTGTTAAAAACGCTCAAGCAATTAGATATTCGTGAACCTATCCTAGTAGGACATCTGCTCACCATATCTGAAGCGGCGAACGATAAACTTCTACAACATTGCCAGAAGAATCAAAAGCGCTTCACCTATTAGCGCATACAGCGAATGTTGAAGAAGAAGGAAGGAGGTGAGGAAGTTGCACCCCTCGAGCCAGATACAAAAGAACCTGAACCCGAAGCCGCACGCGTAGCCGCCATCTCTTTAGCAGAAAAGGATCACTTCGTACGAGCTTGACCAGTACTATGGAAAAGTGCGAAATGTGACTGCGAAGTTTGGGGTAAGCCGTTTAACGCCCTCATCGACACAGGGTCTTCTGTAGTAGCCATATCGTTAGATACTGTCAAAAAGACGGGACGACTTGGATCCATTCTTCCTCAATCTGGCAAAGACAACTATGTCTCTACCGATGAGGAGGCAATGAATATCGTAGGTATTATCGAGAATGTGGCTGTAAAAGTTGGACGAGTACACGTCCTTGTCAACGAGCTCGTAATAGATGTACGCTCCTATTCTGTGTTGTTGGGATTACCTTGGGCAATGGCGGTAGGCGCACGACTGCATTTCGATTCGAAGCAACTGGTGCTCACACAAACTAGGGGAAAACCTCAGACTGTTCCCTTGCGGGTTTCCACCCGAACGATAAAACGGGTTCCCAACTCACCCCAAATAGGGATGATCCGAGGCATTGATCCCGAGGAGTGTTTCCCCTCGCGCCTCGGGGAGGGAATCAGGGTATGAGAATACGAAGAAGAGATGCCCAGTAAAGAGGAATGAAAGCATCTGGTCGAACCTTTCGAACATGAAACCCCCAAAGAATTTCAAGTGTGCCCCAACACCGCTCGAAGCTTCCACGTGGATTCCGAAGATAGTACATTCACGCCTCTAACAACCCAGGTCAGTCCTTCTGTCCTCCTCGGGGAACCCATATTACAAGTCTTCGATCTGGCTGATGATTTGGAACCCCCTTGCACCTTATACGAGGGAGATCTTTCCTTACGAACGCGTTATCAGCAAATGGAACAGTATTTGGACGTTTCTGTTTTCCCACCCCGATCATTGCTAACAACAGGAGCCATCATCGCCTTGATTAAACAAGACGCAGAAGCACCGGTAGGTGATGTGCCGGATCTAATGCAACAAATGACGGATCTAACAGGACTAACTGTGGAACTGACTTCGGTTGATTCAGAGACTGGCGCTGAAACTAAAGAAACAGAGATGATCAGCCCCGCTGAGTCCCAGATGATAGCAACTGTCTTTTCTGTTCGCACCAGTAGTTCCGTTTTCTCAAGTGTCCATGAGCGGCGGGGCGGCCGGTTGACAAGATCGATATGCCCCCTAATATGTCCGGGGAATCAACGATCCCCCTCCCGAGTCACGTTCCCGCGAAATTTCGGAAGTCGCTAATCTGCGTATTGAATGGTTACGCAGATGTGCTGAGCATGCATGACAATGATATTGCGTTAACTAATTTAATTGAACATGCCATTCTCACAGGAAATCATCCACCCATTAGCTGCGCTCCCTACCGATACTCGCCAGCTCAACGAGCGGCCGCCTTTCAACTGATTAAGGAATTTGAAGCTAATGGATGGATCGAGCCCGCTATAGGACCGTGGTCTTTTCCTGTCGTGATAGTACCCAAGAAGGCTGGGGGGATTCGCATTTGCATTGATTATCGAAAGTTGAATGACATCACGATTAAAGATGTGTATCCACTCCCCCAGATTGATGAGTTATTGGATGCGATTGGAAGTGCTCGGTTTTCAACAAGTTGATGCTCCCCATGGGTTCCATCATCTTTTTATCCGAGAGGAAGATCGACCAAAAACAGCGTTCGCGCTTTTCGAGGGCACGTGGCAAAGGATTCGATGTCCGATGGGTATCTGCAATGCCCCTGCGACCTTTCAGCGGGCCATGAACATGGCTTTTCAAAACTTCGTACGGAAGACTCGTTTGACGCAGAGCATCATCAAATACTGCGCGATTGTGTACATGGATGACATCCTGGTCTATTCGAGTTCCTATGAAGGACACGAGCAGCACATCGAATGGGCACTGCATGCGTTACGAGATGCAGGCTTCAAGGAGGCGCCGGAGAAATGTCAGTTTTTTCTCACCGCCATTTCCTTCCTGGGGCACGTGGTGACAGACAAGGGACTTCAACCGGAACCGCAAAAGGTGGTAGATGTCAGGGATGCGCCAGTGCCTACCACTATCACGCAAGTTCGCGCCTTTCTGGGCCTAGCTTCGTATTACCGAAGATTTATCAAAGGTTTTGCGGCAATTGCGGGACCCCTCACAAATCTCCAACGCAAGGATCAGCCGTTGATCTGGACGCCGGAGTGCGATCAAGCGTTTTTCAAATTCAAAGCTGCCCTCATTTCGGCTCCAGTCCTTATAAGACCGGATCCCGAAAAGCCTTTTGTTCTAATCACCGACTGGCAGCCAGAGGCGATTTCAGCGATCCTTGCCCAGGTGGGACTAAGCAGAATTGAGAGAGTGATAGAGTATGCGTCCAAATCAGTGCCCGCCTGCAAACGCAACTACACCGCTCCAACGGAAGAATGCTATGCGGCTCTCTGGGGAATAAGTCGCTTTCGTGCTTACCTGTACAGACGAAAATTCACCCTGGTAACTGATCATGAACCCCTGTTGGCTCTGAAGAAATCGAAGGATTACTCGGGCATGATCGGGCGATGGGCAACGGTGCTGCAGAGTATGGACTTTGACATCCGTCATCGGAAGCACGAGAGACACGGGAACATGGATGGATTGACACGATTGCACCGGCCTGAAAAAGTTCTGAGGAGTGAGGAGGTGATTCCGTGGAATGAACCAAAGCAGGAGATCGGACCTCGGTACGGCCAAGTGAAGATCCTGTCGAAGTAGTAAGTGACACGCAGACTAATTCAGTCTTGTCTCTTCCCCTCTTTCATCATGACTACCCCACCTGCCTTCACAACCCCCTCTTCTCCTACTAATTCTCCCCCTCTTACTTCCTCAGCTTTCTTTGCCACCTTCCCCGATAAATTATGTTATTTTTGCACGTGCATTGCACGGGTTTATGGGGTCGACTGTCATCCCTTTGAAACTGGGTTTGTCGATTGGGTAGAATGTGCCACGTGTGTCAACCGTGCGCACGGGGCCTGCGTACGATATCGGACGAGTAGCAAGGAATGGAGGTGCCCCCTATGTAGAACGAACAAACTCCCCACAGAGGTTCGATTCGAGGCCGCCCGTACGGACGGCCCTGAATACGACGAAAAATACCGACAAGCGGAGGTTTGGACAGATAAAATTTTATTGGCAAAATTAGCAGGGTTATCATTGGGCCACCTCACCAAACGCGACAGACGTAGGGCGGTCGAGAGATCTCGGGACTATCGATGGATCAACGGTCATTTGGAAAAACGTAAAACTGACGGATCTGGTGCGTGGTTGACAGTTCTCCATCCCTTCCAGAGATAAGATTGGATTCGATCTGGTCACGAGGAACAGGCCGCTCATTTCGCAATACGTGTCACGAAGGCAACTGTAGACTATTCCAATATACGCGATGATTTCAAATACATTGTCGCTACCTGTCTAATCTGTGCTGCTGATCGTGCCCCTATACGGGGGCCAAACACAATCGTACCAACGGAAATAGAGCGTCCTTTCCAGCGAGTCAGTATGGACAAGACAGATATTGACGTGCCCCCTGGCCCAAACCGCTGTGAATATTCTATTTTATTAGTATTAATCGACCACTTTTCCAAGTATATCGAAGTCTATCCCTGTAAGACCCGAAGGGCCACAGAAATAGCCACGTACATCGAACGGTTCCTCTATATACATCTAGATAAGGAAGAAATTCTAACTGACAATTTAAAGGTGAGGTAGAAGAACTACTTGCGCGAAGGGGCGTCACGCTCCGACATACGGCACCCCACGTGTCCCAGTCGAACGGGTTGGCCGAGAATGCCAACCATATGATTAAAACTGCCCTTCGCAAGAACTTAGCGGCACACGACACGCGTCCTTGGCCCGAAATCGTATATCAGATCGTCGGCGTCCACCGGGCCACCCCTCACGAGTCTACGGGGTTCACACCCTTTGAGCTTCGAACTAATAGCCTCCGCTGTGTTGATTACCGGGGTAACTCGGAAATCGCCGAAGCAGGGGGTAGAGACACGCGTGCAGCCCTCAAAGCCAAGGCTAAAAGGTACGCCGACTTGATGGAACGAGCCGTTCCGAAGCTAGCCCAAAAAAGGCAAAGGATGACCGAACAGGCCCACGGTAGACAGATCCGTAGCTATGAGGCTCGGAACAGGAATGCTGGGGCCCAGTACCAATATAAATTGGGGGACCTAGTGCAGGTACGTAAATGTGCACGCGACCGGAAACTTGCTCCCAGATTCTCTGGCTCTTTTCACGTTGTCGAGCTCAGACCCAACGACGCTAACACAGTGCGCATCCCACCTGAGGCTAGCACCAGTCAGAGCTCCGTCCCCATCGTCCGGCATACCTCCTACCTCCGTCTCCTTCCTCCTTCCGATCTTCCTCCCTCTTCTCCTTCGGAAAGCGAGGAAAACAATGACGATCTAACCCTCTGTCCTCTTTCTCCCTCCTCCTACCCCTCGTACTCCTCTCCGACCTCGCCATGAGTTTTATCACGGAGCGGGTTCTTGACTTACAGTTGTGGCAGCCACGTGGCAACATCTCGGAAATTCGACAAGTTTGTCACCCTCGGCTCAATACGGATCTCCGTCGTCTGATGCGATTCTTCTGCGACGAAGGTATCTATGCCGCCGCCTCGTTTCGGATAGAAGAAAGCCCTCACGCGATAGTATTCACAGAGGTTACTGCAGTTCATTGGCGAGCGGGTCCCAGAACGAGCCACGTCACCACAGCGGCGGGATTCACCGGCGACATCAGCTCGGTATCTAACCCTCTGTCCTCTTTCTCCCTCCTCCTGTCCCTCGTACTCCTCTCCGATCTCGCCATGAGTTTTATCACGGAGCGGGTTCTTGACTTACAGTTGCGGCAGCCACGTGGCAACATCTCGGAAATTCGACAAGTTTGTCACCCTCGGCTCAATACGGATCTCCGTCGTCTGATGAGATTCTTCTGCGACGAAGGTATTTATGCCGCCGCCTCGTTTCGGATAAAAGGAAGCCCTCACGCGATAGTATTTGCAGAGGTTACTGCAGTTCATCGGCGAGTGGGTCCCAGAACGAGCCACATCACCACAGCGGCGGGATTCACCGGTGACATCAGCTCGGTCAATCCGCTGAGGCATACCGTGATCTTGGCCTCGCTGCGTGAGTGGACGGAGCAAGTGTCCAACGTATGGCAGCACGTCCTCGCCCGGGAAGGATATAACATCAACCCGATCTCTGCATCGGATCTTGACGGTATTCGCCGATCACCAAGCGAGCGGCCAGTTGTGATTCCCACCCTCGTTCCCTTCCCTTTTTCCCCAATGAACCACGCCAATCTTCTCGCTCCTCTCTCTATCTTTGGTCTTCCCTCTCTCTTCTTCACCTTCAGGCAATCCGATCTTCACCCTTCTCTCTCCTTCTCATTCGAACCCCTTTCGGTCCCTCTTATCAATCCTGGACATTGGCGGCTGTGGCGCGAGACTTTTGAGGAATTGTCTCTCTGCCTAGCCCGAGTACAAGTGAAGTGGACGGGCACTGTTGAGCACCCCACGTGGATCGAGAATCCGAAGCTGCTAATCATACAGGGTTGGAGGACTAACGCGAAAGGAGATCTTATCGGATTCCTCTTTGGATCAGTACAACTGGGTCGCCGTCAGTTGATTGCACAGAAGCTTATCGCACCGATTGTGTAATTGGCGGACGACCTTTCGCCCGACATCTACTTTCGGAGTGACAACAGTCCTGCTCCGTACATTTTCGAGCGATCCTTGGACGCGTACCTTCAATGGACTTCGTGCTGGGAGGAACCTAGGGACGAGGATACGCTACCATCGTGGCAGGAGTATCTGAAGCCGTACGAGATCATCCTTTACGCCTTCTACCCGAGGGCAGAAGAAGTGGTGATTGACGATGACGACGAAGAAGACGACGACGAGGAAACATCAGAGGAGGGAAGCCATAGTGAACATAGCGAGGGCGAGCTGAGTGAGGAGGAAGAGAAAGAAAAAGGAACGCGTCCGAGTGGGAAGCCCCGCCGGCGGAAGCGACGCGTACGGAAACGGAGGCAGAAGATCCGGAAGCGGCGCAAAAGCGCGAAGAGATTGCCTCCGGAGAGCGCCAGCTGGAGTCTGCTAGCGAAGCCAGCCTGCGCATCAGTAGCAATCCGACCAGGGAGCCAGAGACGCCGAGGCCCGAAGATGGCGGCCCTGCAGCCGCCACCTCGAGTACCGTGCGACGGAGACGGCGTCGATCCCCCTCCTCCTCCAGCTCCACCCGTCCCCCAGTTCGTCCACGTATCGATGCGGGCGATAGGCCTTCGTCCTCGGACGCTGTCCCGCTGGCCCCTTGATTTCCTCACCCTCGAGCAGATCCGTACCCTCGTCACCTTCCCTTCCCACCCTTTCCATCCCCATCTCTTTCGTGACTTCTACTCTACCCGTTTACTCACCACCGTCCACCCCCACGCCTCCCTTTAGTCCGCTGCTCCCACATTCTGCTGGCATCTTCTGCTGTTCAGTGCTGAATGGGAGCGAAGCAACGTTGTAGATGTCTATTGCGTTGCCACGGGGAGAATCCCCGCCTGTCGCCACTTCAAGAACTTTCGAGCGGCACTTTTCCGCACCCTCTCCTCCTTTTATCGCGATTATCTCGCTTCCCTCCCCTGCAGTGGCGATCATTTCCCTCGTTTCCACCGGATCAACCGATACGAGGAACTCTTGGCGACGATGGAAGAGATGAATTGCTTCCTACCCCCACCTCCTCCCCGTCATCCCCGCGAGATCCCCGGCATGTACCGCCTCTACTGGCCTATTCCAACTAGGCGG